CACTTCCCAGACATTACTAGGCAAGCAGTAAATTATACAGGAAAAAACTACGAAGTTAAAAGAGCAAGGAGAGAGTCAGGAATGTGGGAGGAGAGAGAAATAGGACCAGAAAATAACTTGGTTCAAGTCGAGGTCGATTGCCCGAAGCGGTGAGGCAGCCACGTGCCAGCTGTGGCATGAGTAGCCCGACTCAAGTGCTCGCGCTCACCGACGCATGCGTTAATACGCCCCGGTATGTCTTTCATTGTGTGAGACGGGTATGAAAACCCCCTGAGACATTGTGTATTTACTCTATTTTACCCTCTAGAGCCCGTCCGAGGCAGCTCGGAAACAAGCGCCTACTGCCGGAGACGCGCGAGACGCTAAGTCCGCGTCTCGCCCACTACTTGCTCCAACTCAGGCACCCCCCTACCAGTACCTACTTAGGTACAACTTACTTACAAAAATGATATCCCTAAGGAGGCTGTGGGAAGCTGGTCTGGGCAGGTCAGGGAGGGCAGGTCTGTGGTCTGACCAGGCATCAGAGTGATGTCCTGGTCCATTAAACCTGGAGTGCCCAGCCCAGTGTATGGTCTGTCACAGGCTTTATGGGGTCCTGGGCCAAGCTAGACCAATATAATTCCTGCCTAATTCCTGCCTTTCCCAGTTGCATTGGTCCTTCCATAGTACAGTAACTAAGCATCCAAACAATATGATAAGGAGTGATTCCAGAAGCTACTATCTTCTAGATCACCACTACAGGTATATAATAGCCTTTGTGCATGATACTGACTCTGTTTCTCCATTTTGTATTTTATCTACCTGCAGCCCTTGGGACCTGGGTACTTTACAATACTTGCTGGTGCCTGTGAATTCACAGCTTTGCTGTCTATATATCTGTACCTCAGCAGTAAGACAGGGGGGCACTGTGTTTCCCCCCGTACCCCCCTTTTCCTGGATATTTTGTCCACATCAGGTCTTGATATTGAACGTTCATCTATCCGAGCATAACGCATTTGCTATATATGCCTCTTGCACTCAGCGATAAGACAGGGGGACACTGCGTTTCCCCCCGTACCCCCCTTTGCCTGGATATTTTGTCCACACCAGTCAAAGCCTGTTACCTGACTTGTCACTGACTGTATATAGATATCCAGGCAAAGGTGGTTCGGGGGGGAATACAGTGTTCCCACGCTTAATGATGAGACCAGAAATTATATATGGTGAAGTCATATAGGGAAGCAGTAGCACTTGATAAAGATAGAATCAATTCAATCCTTGCATACCAAAGTCCAATCAATTACTTTGACATGCTCAAACCCATAGAATATCACTCCACAGCACATAATAACCAAGTTAAAGTGTACCCCCACTTATCTTCCCCATCTGGGAAAGTCCACATACTGCCCATCTGGGCAGGGCAAGATACCTGAGGCCTGCCCACCAGGTCTAGTTGGCCAGGCCATCTGGTCCAGTCAAGTCCTTCCCAACCATGCCCACATGGACCAGACATTAACTTATGGTCTGCCCACCTGGTCTGATAGCCCACATTTGCCCGCTGCCCAGGGTGGTCTTCCCTGTATAGACCATCTGGTCCGGTCGGGTAGCCCATATTTGCAGTGGGCCACCCAGCCTGCCCACTTGGTCTGGCCGCTTGTAGCTGATGGCCCAGACCGGTCTTCCCTACGCGGACCAGATGGTCCGGTCGGGTAGCCCACATACATGGTGGTCCGCCCATTCCGCCGAACTGCCCAAGCTTGGTCGGGTTAGGGTCTGCCCTTTGCGCTAGTGCCCAAGTCCTTGGGCAGCCCGAACTGCCCACCCAGAGTGTTGGGCAGGTCCTCCGTTGCCCAAGAGCACTCTGCAATCTGTTTTTTTTCGCACAGAGGAATTCGGACACTGCACCCTCAGTCACGGTCATCTCGACCCTATTTCAATGGTGATTGTTATAGTACATAAGCATATAGCATATACAGTATTTATTTTGTACCCCTCTTACACGAAAGCCCAGATTCAAACTAGTACTGATCATATGTATCAGTGTTCCCATTGTGCTGCCCATCCGCAAAGTCATACTCATTGTCTTCCATCCACTCCTCCATACCGGCAACCTCCTCATATCCAGGTGTAAGCATGGCCTGCTCATCTCTCCGAGCTTGTGGCCTCTGCTCCACTTGCACCGCAACCCCGTTGTCTCCCAGCACCGCGGCGCCATTTTGAGACTCACCATTGCCGAAGGAGGGTGCAAGGAGTCTCCTGTCATCCTCAGCGAATTCGTCGCCATACCCCAGTCCCGACCATCCCCTCACCGCGTCCTCCTGC